CGCGCCCCCTCCTTCAAGCCGCGCCCCCTCTCGCGCTCTACCCTCACCCTTCCCCCCCGTTTGACAGCTTTAGTAACCCCCACAGGACTGCTGCTCCCCTCCCCGCTTTTGAATCCTCCGCCCGGGGAAGGGCGAACGGCTTTCAAGCCGGCCTCCCACTTCCGAACGCTTCCCACGCGTTTGTTTACCACGCCCAGGAACTTCCGCACTGTTTCTATGGGGACGAGCCTCGCGTCGCCGCGCCGAGGTCGTCACTGCCGGGAGCCGGAGGCGGTTCCCTCCTCCTCTTGAGCTGCGGTGCCCCCTGGTGGCTCTGTGGCGGAATGGCACCAGCAGGGCATCAATGCTCTTGCAGGTCTTCTACGAGCTGATGGGAGTTGTAGTCCAACGTTTCTGGAGGCTCATGGGGCTTGGGGAACTGAATTCATTCCAAACATTGCTCCTTTTTTTATTCATTAGGTTTCTGCCCCGCCTTCCATTCCGAAACTCACGGTGCGATACTTCGCATCTCTCCTTCCGCCCACCACAACCCTGCGAGGTAGGCTGAGCTGAAAGAGTGACTGGCCCCAAAGCCCCTCCCAGGGGGCTTCCAAAGCCGAGGATGGGCTAGCCCCAGGGCCTCCCCCTCCCAGTCCATACTGGCCTGCAAAGCTGGTTCCTTGCATTGACCAGGAACTGAATCTGGGCTGCTGCGTAGGAGGCAGGACCTCCACCACAGCCCTGCTGCAGCCCAGGGGCTTCATTTTCAGCCTTGCACAGGCGATCAGGAGGAAGCATTTCCCCCTAAAAATGGGGCACCAAGTGCAGGAGCTGCGTGGGAATGAGCCCAGGCCGTTTTAAATCAGCTTCTGCTAACATCTGGGGGCTCCCTCCAGATGCTCACGAGGCCCTCGCATCTTCCCACCGCTGTTCTCAGCCAGTTACCTCTGGCAGCTTCTGCTTGCAAGGGAAATCTATAACCTAAAACCCAGTGTTTCTCAACCTTGGCAGCTTTCAGACGGGTGGACCAGCCTTGGGGAATTCTGGGAGTTGAAGTCCACCCGTCTG